TGAAATTGCCTGGACAAGATATGGCACAGAGATGGTCAGCCCCAGGTGGCAGCCACTTTGATGTCTCCAGAACTGTGGGCCTGGGAGGGTCATCCAATGGTGGAGGTAGTGTTTAGAATAACACATGGCACTGGGCACCCAGAGGGGGGTGGTGGGCATCGCTGTGCTGACAGCTTCTTTGCAGGGAGTGTGCTCTGCCTGACTAGGCGGAGTTTGGCATACTCCTCTAGGTACAGGTTTTAAAAAGGAATGCTTTTAAAAACATGTTCAATGTGGATTATTTCCACTTGCCAATGACAAAGACCAGATCCTCCTTACTCTGGAAGAGGAAGGGGTGGGGGGAGAATGATCATAAAGTCGGGATACAGCATCTCCTGTTGATGCATGCTGGCACCTAGGCTGTGATGTTGAGTGAATGACCTTCTCTGGCTTCACTTGCTTAGACTGTAACCTGAGAGGGCTGGATCGGGTGTTCCGTGAAGGTCCCGTCTAGTGCTGACCTTCTGTAACCCTGTGGTTCTGTGCGTGGCCTCTTGGCAAATGAGTTTGGGACACTGACAATGCTGGACACAAGAGCTTAGCACTTTTATAAGTAGGTTTTGGTTTTTTTTTTTAACATCTTAGAGGCAGTTTAATCACAATTTCTTAAGTAGCTCGGTATTAAAGACTGGTCATAGTAGATTGTTTGGCGAGAAAGTAGTGAGGCAGATTAATTTCATTCTTATTTTAACTCTAACAGTGAGTGGCTGTAAGACTGGATATCTTAGCACCACATGCAAGGTCTGTGTAGTACAGTCAGAAAGGCAAGACTTCTATTTTCTTTGTGGACTTTTATTTTTTCTTATATTTTAAGGACAAAAGTCATCAGCAGTACCTGTCTCGGCCGCCTGCTAACAGAGACACTTCTAGAGAAGGTTATGAAGAAGCTCTATAGACCAAAGCAGCGTGTTCTTGAACTGTTTTTTTAAAAAAATTATTATTACTCAGGGGCAGTTTCATTGTAAATTTGCTGCACAACTGAGGGACCTTTTTTGTTTTGTTCTGGTGGTGTGAGGTGTTAACTACCCAATCAAACCGTCCAGCAGACAGAAGCTGTCGGTGCTGTGTCCCTGACCAGCACTGGAATAAAGCCATAGGAACAGCAGGGTCACTCTGGCTTCCTGCAGGAACGAACTATAAAAATAATGACTATAATTTACCAAGAATTCTATTATTTTCAGAGCATTTCTCATTCACATAGAGAAATCAAAGGAGGTTAAGTAATACTATACCCACATTTTACAAGAAACAGAAGTTCAAGGCATTAAGAAGTTGCTCAAATTCATTCAAATCCAATTATATTTTTTTTCATTTTTTTAGCCCCAAATGTATGTCCTTTTCAGTTGCCTCATCTATGCCAATACATTAGCAAGTTTTCATTGCACTTATGTCTGTGTATATGCAGTCCTAGTTACTAGTGTTACATTTTTCATATTTTTCCATAGAGAAAACATAGTCTGTATCAGCGAGTTTCTAGTATTTAGAAGGGGCTAGCAAACTGTAGGAGTTTCCATGGAGATGCCACCCTGTGCAATCCCACCACAAGGTTGCTTTGGTTGTTGTTTTACTTTTGAATGTTGCATGTAAATTGCAAAGCATTAAAAATAACAATACACTTGTTTCAACATGTGATTGATTGTGTTCAGCAATGATTATTTTATTGACTAATTAGATTAAAGTTAAACAAAATTACAACCCCAAAAAGAAACATTCACCATTATTCATTTGTTTTTGAGAATTGTTCAGAGTCTGTGGTTACGGTTGGGAAATGATTACCTTTAATGACGTGCTGCACAAGGTCACAGCAGTGGGATGAAAATGGAAAAGCCCTATCACACAAACATTTCTCCTTCGACGGTTAATACACACAGTCATAGCCAACATGTCCTCTGTGCAGCTGGAAAACGACACCTGGCTCTTCAGGAACTGGCGTGTCTCATTCGACTTTTCCCCTTGTGACCTTGAGGGAAATAAGACTGTCAAGATGCCTAAGATCAGAACTCAGTCATTTGAAAACTTCCACTCCAGAACTCTTTCTCTGTCCTAACACCTGTCCTCAGTGATGCGATGAGACCATCCCCACCTGCACGGCTTCAATCAGAGGCATTATCAGTTGAAAGAATGCTTTGAAATAGGGTCCAACCTACCTTTGAGGTTGGGGTGGGTGGTTTTACTTACTTGGTAGTGGGAGGCTATCTACTTTAGATGAAAGAAGAATTAGAGAATTATCTGGTTTGGTTCTGATGTTGGAAGTGCAGAGTTTTGGAAAGTGCTTTAAAGCAACGTTGGTAATAAGTGACAGCGGAGGCTGCGGAGACGTTATCTGGACTTAAAAGCATTCGGTTGTGCATCTGCTTTAGCAGAGAGCCCAGACCTCTTGTTTCTTTAATCAAGCACTGCTTGCAGGAAAGAATGAGTAAAATCTTAGTTCTTCCTCTCTGTAAAGGCAGACTCCCAACGGTATAAAATTATCCACAAGAACTTGATCAAACTTGGTTGCCCTTTTATTACTCTGCCATAACAAAAACAAAACACGCATCCCACTACAAGCTTCTCCAGTAGTGAGTGTGCAATTCTTTACCCACAACTAGGGGAACCAAGATAGGTCAGATGTCAAGCAAGACTGGGGGTTCTAAAACGTCTTCCTGAAAGGGATATGTGCGAATTTAGTAACTAACCTTTTTGGTTGCTTCCACACATACAGTTAGTGTTGCGCATATTACTGTCAGTACAGGGCTATTGCTATGGAATTATGTTCACATCCAGGTCTTCTGTGTCCAGCGATGCGACACATATATTCAAATGCTTTGAAAGAAGACTGGCTTTCATTAGGTACATTGATCTTGAATATGAAACTCTATTTTACTTTTTTACAAAATATGAATCTGAAGAGTATTTTTTAAAAGCTGTGATGACATAACACAAGCAATCTAGTTAAAAGTGGGGGCAAAAGTTTTAAATACCCTTATTTTGAGAACACAACAGAAAATTCCCTCATAGCTGTCTAGGTATTTTCATGGAGAGATTTAAATATTTAAATAAGCACACACCCTAACTTTTAAAATGCTTCTATGAATCAGGTATAACGCCAGGACTCAGAGTCAGCGAGAATGGATTTGGCCCCAGGCAAAAAGTTGCAGGAGCGTCTGTCCAGACACACATGTGTTCAGAGAGGGAAATCGTGGAAACATGTTCACATAAGATTTTGCCTCGGTGCCTTCCTGGCTGCAGGGCCCTAGTAGCTTTCTCTAGGTTCCTCTCTACCCTCAGTGGCTCTGCCGGCTGAAGGGCATGTCAATAACTGAGTTGGCAGGAAATGTAGGTATTAAGGGTGTTTAGGAGCAAGTTAAACTGGATTTTCTCCTGGCTTTCACAGGGACTTGATGCCACCCTGTAAAACTATATTAGAGAAGGACGGTTCACTAACTACAGTTTGGAAGGCCCCCAAATTCTGTGGTATCCTCCCCCTTCCCTCCATCGGAAGTCTCACACCACGTAAATGGCCGCCGTGGGGTCTGGAACAGAACAGAACGTAACAGGCTCTGGTGAATCAGCCCTTCCAGGAACCAGGTTCACTTTGTGTTCTAGGCCAGTGATTTTCAGCCTTTCCCCTCTCATGGCACACATAAACTAAGTCCAAAAATTCTGCAGCACACCAAAACACATACATTTTTTGCTGGTCTGACCCCCAAAATGGGTATAATTTTGATTCATTCACACCAGATGGCTATTGTGCTGGCTGTTGTCATTTTTTACTTGACAATCTCAGGGAAAACAGTTCAGTGCCCCAGACTAACTAGTTAGCTATTGCATGTTTTAAAAACTCTTGCGCCACACCGGTTGAAAGTTGCTACTTTGGATCAAGGGTGGACGAACTGGCTGTAGAGGGCCAGGGGGTCAATGTTTTAGACTTTGAGGGCCACTGCTCAACTTCCTGGCAACGAATCAACTCTGCCTTATAGAGCAAAAGTAGCCATATGCTACTATACCCAAATGCATGTAACCGTGTTCCAATAAAACTTTATTTACAGAAACAGCTGATGGGCTGGCTTTGGCCCGAGGGCCACAGTTTGCCCTTCCCTGTTCTGACTAACCACAAATGGTGCCTCTCTTCTGAAAACTGCCAAGTGCTTCCCATATTCCTAGCCAGCTATGCCCCGACACACAATGTTTACTACTCCGACAGTGGGTACATAGCTGTGGTAGAAGAAGCCAGTGAGACCTGAGGACTCAGTTTATGACCCGCAGAGGCAAATCAGTATGATCAGAATTGATAGGAGTGTGGAAGGGCCTGTTTCTGTTTTATTAGAAAACCTGGGCATGTAGGTATTGCTGGCTTTTGGTTATCTTGGATCAGCAAGCAGTAGCTGAGGAGGATGGCCATTCTGGTGCGGTGGTGGCAGGCGCAGGTGCAGAGAAAGGGAACAAACTATGGGTAATGCCGTATCTTGGCAGCCTCAACGGGTCTCTGCCGCTTCCCAAGGCACCAAGTGCAAGACAGCGCTAAGGAATTCATTGCTCAAGCAATCGGGCTGATGAACTCAAAGGTAAATCTGCTCAGCACATGGCTAAAAACAAAACAGAATGAGACAAAACCCCCAAATATATAAAAGTTGTAAAAGCAGCAATGGCCAAAAATCACAGAATTCCCTATAGGTAGAGAAAACCTTACCCATCCTCTTAGCCAGCTCTTTCACATTACCCATGGGGGGCGGCGGGGGGGGGGGTGGTGCGCGGCCCGACAGGGAGGGGTAACTTGCCCAGCTAGTTGGTGGAGGAATCACCAAATCTCAGCCATTGTGACTTCCAATCTGTTAATTTCCTTTAAAGAATCTGAATTTAAATGGCACCTACCAACCATATAAACTCTCATGTCATGAAACTATGATAGCTACGTACCTGGCTACTGTTAACGACAGTTTTCTGTTGGCACATAAATGGTGCCAGGGAAGCCCTGAAGCTTACTGAGGGGAACAGAATGCATCCTGTCACTGGTTTAACGTAGCTGATAAAAACCGCACCGGATAAAGCATTAAATGGCCATCTTCCCAGGAATATAAATGCTCGTCTCTCCTGTTGTACGATAACATGGCAAGAACAGACTGAGTAGTTCTTAAATCAAAGTTTGCATTGATCTGTTTCCCTCCTAACAAATCAAAGGCAAATGTTATCCTCATATCTTTGGTGTCGGTGACGTAGAGGATCCCTCGGGCAATGAAGGCGTTGCCGGCCTTGGATTTCGGGTACGTGGTGTTGATGTGCTGCACCACAGAGAAGGTCCTCTCGTCCAGCTGGGCGACGAGGATGCTTGAGCCATCCACACTGGAAGCATAGATAATCCAAAGGCCCTTCTCGTCCACAGCTAAATTGAAGTATGTCTTGGAATTGGCAAAGAGGTATTTTCGATTAAAATACAAGGCATTTTCAAGCTTCAGAGTTTGGGATGTTTCTTTGCCAAATTCAAATCTGGAATATGTAAAAAAATGAGTCACCATTTTTGTGGACAAGGGTGGTTTTCATGCTCCTCTATTAAACTGGGGTGGGGCCCGAGGTTCTGCATTTCTAGTAAGTTCCCAGGCCATGCTCACTCTGAGCAGCAGGGGTATAAAGGACAGTGACTACATCTCAGTGTCCACCTACTAGCGGTGTGACCCCAGGGAGATTCCTCCATGTCAGGAATCCTCAAGTGTTTGCTGACTCCCAGAAATGCCTCCTCAAAGTCTCCCCCCCACCTTTGGAGGGGCCTCCAAAAGTGATCTGGTCCAGTCTGTTCATTTTATTGGGTTGGCCAAAAAGTCCATTATGTTTTTTTCTGTAAAATAAAAGACACATTTTTCGCTTTCACCAATAACTATATTGATTTGGATATTTGGAGTATGTCCAGCTATCTCCCGCTATTGGCTTCTAGTGGGTAGAGGCCAGGGGTGCTGCTAAACATCTTCCAGTGCATACGACAGCCCCAGAGCAAAGAATTATTTGGCCAAAATGTCAATAGTACCAAGAACTTCACAAACCACTTTTGATGTGATCAATCAGTCACAGAACCTTCTCTGTACACTGCACAGTTTCAGTTGCATTTTTAGCTTTCTTGAAATAACAAAACATATTATGCTGAAAATGGGTATCTTTTCCCATCTTCAATATTAAAAATGCCTGCACAAAAATTCATCAATTTTGAAGTTTTTAATGCATGCTGATGTGACAGCTGTCACAATATGATATAACAAAATTGCTTTGAATGAAGTTAAAGACAGCTAAACACTACTGCAGCCATTGTACAGAAGAACGTAACAGACTTTTTGGCCAACCTGATACAATTGAAAAAGGAGAAGTGACTGGCCCAGGAATACAAGTAGCTAGCTGAGCCAAGGTTTGAACTTGAATTTCCAACTCCAAGTTTTCGGGGGTCTTTCTCCAGTCTGTGCTGTAATTTTAAATCAAAAGTTTTACAGCAGCCTAAATTAAGAAGAGTCTCCAGCTGGAAGAGATGTAGCAAGGTCATGGCTGCAAAGTCATGTCTGCTGGGTGCCTGGATAAGTGAAGTTACACGTGGCACCCCTGCCCACAGCTCCCAGAGTCCGTCTGATGTGGCCAACTCCAAATCCAGACCGTATCATAAAGTGAATTTATGATTCAAAAGGTACCTGACTCCAGGAATTAAAATTCAGACATTAGGCTGAAAGAAAAGAGAAACACTAGAGGGTGCTGTTGAGCAGAAGAAGAAGTGGGACGCGTGGGAATCTGCAGATTTGCGTTGGACAGTAACCGACTTGAAGCCAGTTGAGAAACCCTGAAGCAGGTTTGAAAAGAAACCAGAGAAGGGGGGCGCTCCAGAAGGTCCTGCCTGCCCATCTCAGCTCACGGGGCTCTTCTTCCTCTGAACATCTGGAATTCAGGACTGCCATCTTGTCTCTGTCTGGCACTGGCAGGGACCGATTTCGGGCTGTGACACCTTCTTGCCAGAGGGAGCTCTGGGTTCTGGCTGCAGCCTTTCTCAGAGGGCGAGGAAGCTGCATCTCCAACCACTCCGGGTCTCCACCTCTCTGGCTCCAACCTCACTCTCGGTGTCCAGACCAGTAGGGCTGGGAGGCGGGGCTCATTCATGGCGTCCTGCGGTTCATCGAGTTGGCAAACCCTGACTGGCCTCAGACTGTGTGCCAGGCCCCAGGGACATAACGCCATGGACACACAGTTCCGACCCCTAAACAGCTCACGGATGACTAAAGCGCCACAGCAGGCACTGTCTGGGTTGTGTGAGAAGGCACCGCGGGGCCGAATGACTCACCTCACTATGGTGTTGGAGCCTCCTTTGTGGTAGTAGAGTGCGCTGTTGTAAACCGCATGCCCACAGCCATGGAAGTAATACGGGAGATGGATGAGCGAGTAACTGCCGTTCAGCAGGGAGGGCTGGTCTTTGAATTCCTTCACTCTGATGCCTGCGGAGGGAACCCCGGGAAAGGCTGATACCTGCCCTCTGGTCTGGCGGTCACAGCTTTGGAGCGAGTCAGGGGAGGAAGGGAGAAGGACTGAGGTTGGAGTGGGACATCCTGCAAGGGTCCTTGTCCAGTTGGAAGAGTGTCAGATTCCCAAGCTCAAAGTCCAGATCCCTTCTATGGATTCTGATCTGTCTTTTGAGAGCAGTAGCCACAGAGTCAGCTTTGCTCCTCCCAGGAGCAAAGGGTGTCACCCTCTCTCTATCCGACTCCAGACTCTTTATAAAATTTTCTCTCAGACTGACATAGGACTCTCCCAGGAACAGCAGATACCTAGCAGTTACTCAGTCGCCTCCTGCCTCCTTCCGCCCTCCACAGCATCGGCTGCTAATTCACATCATTCCTCTGTCCTTCTGAGCCACACAATGCTTCTCAGCTGGTCATCGGGGCAGTTGCTACAGCTGAACCGTTAGCCTTGTTGAAACGAAGCCACATACCGCAGCTATTGCTCCGACCGGTGGGTTGGAGGAACGAGGCCGCTGCTATCACGACCAGCAATTCCTGAGCAAACCCCCTTTGGGGCAGAGTGACTAAGGCCATGCTCAGAAGCAGTGTCCCTGTGAGATGGCCCTTCACCTTCTCCCCTGGGCTCTCTGTCCATCAGATGTCTGAGAACGATGACCAAAAAGTACTCCCCGGGGCGGGGGGGTGCCAACCTCAGAGACAGATGGGTAGCGCGAAAGACTTTGTCTCTGGCATTTCTACCCCATTATGTTTTGAGGGTGTATGAGGCCATCAGTCATAACACTATGTTGTTTCCTTCTGGATACTTTGCCTAAAATTGGATAAGCTACTCGGAGGGTGCCCTGGTCATGTTCCTGTGACCTGAACAGCAAGGGCTGCCCTCAGTGCGCTCAGAGGAGAAAACTGTCCCGCCACCCACCCCCTTACCCACCCCCCGCCCCCCATGCTGTCTAAAATAAAGAGGGATTGTTAGACCCAGTAGCAAGGATTCCAGGAGGACACACACAGAACCAGCCTGCAGATAGGCAACGGATGAAAAACACAAAGACAGCGCAGGCACAGATTATCTGCCAGGTGGAAGTACCTGAAAAATGTTCAGTCACCCAGATCCGCTCATCACTCTTATTAGCAGACTCTCTTATCCAGGTGCCAAATGTCTCTGCGACTTTTAGTACTTGTGTTGCATTTCCAATGGAAGTGATCATGGATTCTACCAAAAGAGGAGGAAAAACAGTTACTGACCCGCCAATGATGACTTTAAGGCATCCAATTTCTGAATTTCAAAATAGGATGCTTTGTTTCTGTACCCGCCTGTGGGGAATGGTGTTCACTGACTTTCTCATCAGCTTTGCCAACCAGGGTATCATCGTTGGGGATAGCACATGTCTCACCTAAAACAACAACAGCAACAATCAGAGCAGATGCAGCTGGCGCGCTGGGCGTTGTGCAAGTCTACACCTGGCGCTCTCCCCACCTCGGTCCAGACTCTAGGCCCACAGGCGTCTTTTGCAATAGGCCCACCAAGGTTTCTGGTTGCTTGCTTTTGAGCAACATCAAGTCATACCCTTCCATATTTCCCCCCTTAATTGGTGAGTTCCTAACAAGCTTTCTGTGACCACAGGTGCTAAGATGGTACCATCCCCAGAGGATGTCCATAAAAGGGGAAAAGTGGCCTGAGCCAGCTCAGTCCAGACTCAGCAACCTGGGAGAAGGAGGGGTTTGCTGATGCTTTCCTGGCCTCTCAGGGCAGGTGGTATTATCATGACTGCAACTTTCTGGAAGATTTTCCATTTCAGGGAAGCTGATGCAGAGGGGTGAGGGAGAGCCTCAGGAGGGGGCCCACTTTACCTCCTCTTCCTGGACTGCCAGGGGCAGGCAGCCTGGCCTGACACGTTTGAGCCCCTCGCCCCATCTTCCCACCTGCCCCTTCTTGAAGGCCTCTGGCTCTCAGGTCCTCGATGGGCACCTGATTCACACTTGGTTTGAGGCTGCATCTCAGCTGGAATCCATCCTTCACACTTTGTTCTTGTTCCCGTAACAACTGGGCTCAATTCAGACCTTTGGTGAGGAGGTGGCTCAGGATGGCAGGAGCAGGACAGGAGGGAGGGGGATGTGGCCACTGCAACCAGGACAGGGAGTGAGCTGGCTGGGGGAGGGCCCTGGTCTGGGGCAGGCTGGGGCCCATCGGGCTTTCTGGGGAGGCCAGACCCATTCAAATGGGTTCACATCACCCTGTGGCTGCTGGATAGAAATCAGGACCTCCTCGGCTGTATGTGAAGAAGCTCACAGAATAATTCGGAGAGGTTCCTTTATCAGCCAGGAGGGGACGGGACCCTCCCTGATCTCTAAACTGGTTTCTAGCTGGATGCTAGCACTGCGTTTCTCTGAAGTGCTCTGGCACTCTGGGAGAGCAGTTTCAGTGACCTGAACTGACTCCCCCATGGGTGGTCCTGCTGCCTCTGAGTTTCACCCTCAGTGACCCCTGAGGAGCTCGGGCTTTGCACGAGAAGGGACAGGGAGACCCTCCTGTTTTTAGTCTGAAGAAAGACTCTCATTAATTCATGTTGTACCAAACTGCTTCTAAAGCTGTGGGGGTGGGAGGAGAGTAAAAATATGGGATTGGAGCAGGAGAGAGGGCCAAGGTCAATTGCAGGGACTGAGGACCCATTTCTAGGGGGCAGAGTGGGAAATAATGGCCTCTGTTGTTTAAACCTTCACGACTCTGTCTTCATAGCTCTGCGGCCCCCGCCCACCTGCCGACCAGCCTCTCAGGACACTGGCCAGGCGGAGGGGAGTGCTTCTCTAGGCACCCGCCGTCACTGGCTGACAGAGCCTGGGGAATTAGACTCCACAAAGCTCAGGTCAGATCTCCCCTTCGCTCACGCAAGAAAGGACTGATGCTAACGGAGGCGGTGGGACCGAATGCCAGCGAAGGAGCAGCTAACTGCCAGGGAGAATTGTAATCAGGCTCCATTTATGGGGGTGGGGAGCATGTGCGACATCTTTGAAAGCCCAGATTTGCCCACTCTAACAGCTGAGTGCATGCCCCCAAAATGCCTTCCAGGAAAAACAGTGCACCAAAGAGAAGTAAAGACTGTTTAGGAAAGCAGCTGTGAAATCCACAGCCGGTGTGACTGACACCCCAGTCAGCCCTCCTGTGCGCCGCTGGAGCGATAGCATCAAGTGGCACCTCCTCTCGGCCTAATAGGTGAGCAGATCCCAGGTGACTGCCTTTGGGAAGAAAGGCCAGCACCCCCCTAGAAGTATTTTCCATTAGTATGGACCTTGATTTCTAAGTAGTGTTCCATCCTGTGGCCACCCCTATCACAAACTGGCCAAAGAACAAGTTCTGTCAGCCTATCAGAGGTCAGGTGTCCCTTGCCTTCATCTCAAAGCGTGAGTTTCCGCCTCCAAAAGTAAGACGTGTATGGAGAAGGGGCTTTAGGGTCAGGCACACCTGGCTCTGAAGCCCAGCTCTGCCCCTCACTACTGAGTGTTTCAGTTTTGTGCCTGTGAATGGGTGACAATAACAATTCCTATACGCTACCATTGCCAGGAGAATTCAATGGAGTAAGCACTTAGCACTGTGCCTGGCACACTGTTAGCACTCAAAGGGTAGAGGTGGCGGTGGTAGTGCTGCAGTATTATGGGGGGTTAACCCCCTCGGACTTCCCCATCAACTGCCCCAGCATCAGTCAAGCCCACCATGCTCCAGGAGCGAGCAGTTTAGCCTTTGAGACCAGTTAAGGGGAGGAGGGTGGCGGATTTGGCAAGGAAGAGGACCAGTATGGTGGTTGGGTGGGGAGAGGTGAGGGAAGGGTGTGGGAAGCCCAGTTCTAACCTGCCACCAGTCCTCATCCCGGGGACAGACTACCCAGGCCTCCCACAGATATGTAGCAAGGGGGAACCCCCGGGATCAAATCTGGCTTTGGATAAAATCTCCTCCCTCTGTTTAAAAAATCCAGTCACAAAGCCCGAGAGTTGGCACCACTAGTGGAGGAGACAGGTTCCCTGGGGCAGGGATTGGTGACCTGGGCACTGGCCGTTGAACATGTCTGGCTGCCGAGGGGCTTTGGATCTTCTTCCAGGGGACCCTGGGGGACCTGGAGGGCCTGGGGGCCCAGGTGGGCCGGGTGGGCCTGGTGGGCCTGGGTCACCTTTGGCACCTGGAGAGAGGGGGGGAGAGAGAGAGATGGAGAGAGAGAAAAGGTAGGGGGTGGGGAAGATTGATTAAAGAGCCATAATCAGAGTTGGGTTTCACACAAAGAAAAAAGAGCACAGTCTCTCCAGGGAGGCTCACAAGCAGCCCCTCCCACAGGTGACTGCGCTCTAGTACTGGCCCATGCAGAGCTGAGGAAGCCCCCACAGCAAGGGCTGAGTTCCAGCCATGTGCCAGCAACTGCGCTGAGAATTTTATGTCTCCTCATGGCTACTCTCAACCACTCTGTGAAGTAGCCTCTCAGTGACTCAGTCTCAGGGAAGTTGAGTGTTTTGCCCAAGGTCACAACCCGAACAGGCTGGACCTCAGCCTCAGGTGTGCGTCACTCCAAAGCTCATCCTATTTCACCGGCCGGTGTCCGCGGACGCCAACCCTGCCTGCTCAGCAGAATCGCTCGAGGAGTTTCAATACCCTTCTTATCCTGGGCTCCCTCCCAGTCCAATTAGATCGGAACTGTAGGGAGGTGGGTTATCTGAATTTTTAAAAAATATTTAAAAATTGTTTTCAATTATAGTTGACATATCATATTAGTTTCAGGTATACAGCATAGTGTTAGATATTTATATAACTTACAAAGTGATCACCCCAATAAGTCTAGTGCCCATCAGACACCACACAGTTATTAAAATATTAGCGACTATATTTCCTATGCGGTACTTGATATCCCCGAGACTATCTTTATTCATGTGTATGTTTTAAAGTGTCCTACTATGCAGCCAGGTCTGAGAAGACCTGTTCTGTGTGGTGGGGGAAACAAGGAGCTCTTGTCCAGCTTTGAGACCTCGACTGGCCAGCTTAACCCTGTTGAGCCTGTTTCTTCACCTCTAACTGAGTCTCATGCTCCCTTGAGAACCGGCTCTTGAGGATGACTGAGGTTCCTGGGGCGAATGCCTGACAGCTGGAAGCCCTCCACACCTGAAGGCAGCCATTCCTCTAATTTCTGGTGGCCGATGTGGGTGCAGGCCTCTGCAGGGGCCGCTGGTTCTGGAGCTTCTGTAGGGATGCCGTTAGGCTGGGCCATTCAGCCCTTTGGTTCTGTTCACCTGTCCAGGGCGACATTATGATCCAAGGTCTCTTCAGCTGCCTCTTTCCAGTCAGACCAAATAAGCCTTTTCAGTCTCTTGGGAGTGGGCAAGCAAGGGTCACTCCAGAGTGGGCGGAGATCTGCAGGCCAGGCAGATGCGATCCAGCCCTACTACACCTCCTCCGCTGTCTGACCAGAGGGCACACTCTGCTCTGGCCTGGCCCCCGGGAACTGGAGTTCTCTCAGGGAGGCCACTTTTCTGAATGGCTTGTCATCACCCACCCCCCTTGTTCAGCAGTATATGGGAAGGCTGTGTTCTGAATATACTGACTTCCCACATGACTGAAGTACACATGATCTTATATTTTCAATGTATATTCATGTATATAATCCTGTCAAAGCCCTTCTTAAGTTGTGTGCACTTTGCAGAGCATCCTCCCCTGTTGATGAAATGAAGCTGCTAAATGGAATTTGGTCTCCCCTTGATGCTTTGGTCTTAGCACAGTGTCCAGCAAATAGCAGGTGCTCAGTGAGTTTTCAGTGGATGAATGGGCAAATGATTCAGGGTCGTTATTCTGGACACCTATCATCTTAGCTTCCTAAGGACAGACGTCATGTCTTACTCACTTTCACGATTCATAGTCTCAGCTCCTAGCAAAGCCCCCAATCCATAAATGCAGCTCTTTCATATTCAGCAGATATTTACTGAATATATTAATAGGATACTTATGTTTTTATGATACAAACGATCTCCAAAGTATTGTGCTTTTAAAATTCCTTGCCTCACGACCATCCATTGTCACCTACTCTTTCCACTACATGACTGTCTTTCTGGGCTCACTGCACCCCCATCTCCTCCCCATAGACACCAACTATCTGCTTTTAAAACCAACTATCTGGGCTAAAAACCGGAAAAAGAAGATCAGCAGCTGTGTTTGCCCCAATTCTCCATGTCAAAGGCTTAGGATAAGGGCCCGTTTTGACTGCAAAGAAAAGGCCTGTGCTTTCGGTCAGTGTATGTTAAATTGCTTGCTGGCGTGTATTGTTTTGGACTGTGCTGTATTTAATAGATATTTGGGAAAAGGAAACTTTTTCCTTCATTCTAATTTAATCCAACCACAATGTTTAGACCTGAATTATTTAACTTCCTTTTGCTTAGGTCCCAGATTTGGTCTTGCCAACATTGGGGTAGCACACTCGGTGCTCTCCTTTTTGAAAGCACAGAACTCTGAAACAGGCTACAAGATGGCCACATAAAACACATGAGGAGAGAAGACTCTGAACGGCCCCTGGGTCATTAAAGCCCAGGTGGGTTTCTGGGGCTGTTCACTCTGGGAGAGGGCCCAAGCGCCAGCCTCTTACCTGTGGGGAGCACGTCATTGGACACGTCCCCCTTGTCCCCCTTTTCGCCCTTCTGCCCTGCTGGGCCCTCGTTTCCGGTCAAGCCAAGCTCACCAGGGTCTCCCTTTTGCCCTGGAATTCCTGTGGCTCCAGGTAGCCCTGAGAAAAACAGTGACATATTAATTAGCCTATTGAGCAAGGAATTCTGACACACTACTTTGTGATATCATACCGTGTACTTTAAAAGTGAAGCGGCTTCGAAAACCAAATAACTAACACGAACAGTCATTTTGGGACAGCAGCATGGCCATCGTTAAAGAACAACATTTCCAGGAAGCTCTGATGGAATACTCTTAGAGACATTTGGCTGCAACAACCGGCTGAAGAGACGACTGAACCACAAGAGGGACAGTCACAGGAAGAGGAGGAAGGTAAGGCCCAATCAGAAGTCTGATCCCTCCATGCAGGTTGGATGGAGCACCGTCAGCAGCTGGCTTGGTGCAGTAATGGTGGGTGACATCATCTGCATTATTCGGTTGACCCCTCACAACATGTTGGAGTAGAGGCTGGGGACTTATCCTTGCTCTCATTTTTAGAAATTGGAACTAAGGCCAACAGTGGTTATCACTGATGCTGCTACACGAGCAGCAAAGATGCCCCGACTCCATCACCAATTTCTGTGGCATTCCAGTGCAAAATGCTTTTACTCAAAAGAGCAAATCAAGGAAAGTTGCTCTAGGACAGGCATGAAGATGGGTGGGTACAGTGTGAACAAACTGCAGTGGGTGACATTTCCACTGCAGGGGAGCCATCACAGTGGGACTTGCGGCCCTGCCACACCCAGCTAGAAACAGTCGGGATGTATGCCACGTCCCACCCCAGCACTGCCCTGAGGAAAGCACAGGTGTCTGATCCCTGGGAGAAAGGAAGCAAACGGGATTCGCCTGACTGGCACAGCTCACTGCCGGTGGGTCGTTTCCAGGCAGCAGCACAGGGAGCGGGGACCCAACCAGAGCCTGGCAACTTTGCTGTGGCGAAGAGACAACAATAAGAGTTTGGGGACACAGAGGTGCCTAGCATTTATGAGAGAGGAGGTAGTTGTGTAGAAAGAGCTGGGAAACTCCAGAACTTGAGTCTTTGGCTGAGTAATGATCTGTGCACAATGCAAGACAGGGAAAAGAATGGACAGGAAGCACGTCACTTCACAACCCTCCGAGCCTGCACAGGGAAAGCGCTCATTCCCACCCGTCGAGGCGGAGTGCTCTCAGAAAGGGAAGGGATATTGGGTCGAGTTTTGGAAAAGTCTTGTTGTAGTAGTGGGGCTAAATTAGCCTGAGAGTCGAGGCTGCCGTGGGTCCATTGTAACAGTGCTTAGAAACAAGCTTTGAACGGACTAGGCTGATCTGCAAGTAGTTTAACTGCACGTCAGAACAGAGTCCAAAATTTGAACCATTCAGTTGAGGTGATGCAGCAAATTAACAATTTAAAAGAAAATCATATGATTATCTCAATGGATGCAGAAAAAGAATTTCATAAAATTTAACACCTATTCTTAAGAAACTTCTCATCAAACTAGGAATAGAGGCAACGTCCTCAACCTGAAAGAGGACATCTGTGAAAAACCTAACGTCATCCTTAACGGTGAAAGACTGAGTGCTTTCTCCTACGGTCGGGAACAAGACCAGGTATCTATGCTTATCCCTTTCACTTCACACTCTGAGGGAGAAACCAGCCAGTGCAGAAAAGTAAGGCAAATGGAACAAAAGGCAGACACATTGGTCAGGATGAATTAAAATTATCTTTATTTGCAGGTGACATGATTGCTTATGTAGAAAACTTCCAGAAATCTATAAAAGAGCTACTCGACCTTATAAGCTCCCAGAGACACAGGGACCCTGAGAGGGGAAGTGATTGCATAACACTGTGCAAGGGCACAGCCAGACAGGGGCAATTCACACGATCTCCTATTGCAGGGAGCCTGCTGTTTGTCCCAATGACAGCCTCTTGGAAATACTGCTCAGCAGAGATATTATTCAAAGTGACATGGATTTCAGGTGACAGGAAAGAGCCAGAGGCATGTTTTACAGCAAGCAAAACTTTGATTCCTCCCCAGTCTGTAACCAGGTGGGCTGAGGATCCACTGCCTTTCCTAACTGCCCTGTCAGCCCCTGTGCCTCTTCTTACAGGCTCTGGCTAAGAGACTGCCCATTTGCCCCTCTCCTGTGCCCCTCAGCTGGGACAGTCCCCACTCTCTAGGGGTCATCCTTCTGGCATCACCATAACCCTCCCTCCAGATGTAAGATCAAACCTGGACTTCCCCTGCCCTCACTGCTGGCTAGCACCAGAGGAGTCAATATAACTATCCCAAGGGAGTCGTGGGATTCCAGATTGGAAGGTACCTTAGAGGTCAGTTAGATCAACCTTCCATCCAACCCTAAAAGCCCCTCTGTACTACCCAATTGGCTCTCACAGCTTTTCAGCAACAGGGAGTTTATTGCATTCATATCACCTCACCTCACCTCACCTCACAGATCATACTCGCATACGCTGCACTGCCACTGAAGGCAGTTTTTCCCTGAAACGTAACTCTGGAGCTGTCAGTACTTTTGCCTTTAGTCCAGAGGAATGATATGTATTCAAAGTGGTTTTTGCTCTTCCTTATTTGAGGGACCCTGCACAGACCATTCCAAGGAAGACAGCAGCGTGTGACAGAACCTTGAAGTGTTGACCACTGTTAGAAAATGTAGTGACCAAAGAAACATTTGCTAGATTTCAGCCAACCATGAAAAAAGTCTCAGTGAAAACCATGAAATTCAGCTGTAGGTGGGAGTCAGAGGCCTTGACTTCGCTGCCACTGGTGATCTCAAGAGGGTGTCGTGACAGCTGGAGGAGCTGTGACACAAGGAGAGAACGAGAAGAAAAGCAAAAGCTCCCCCCCCCCCCCCATTGTGGGCATTTGCTCTGCCATAGATTCAGTAACACAGGGAAAATCATGTCTCCCCGGTGGGTCGTGGCTCATAATACATCTTTCCCAACAGCACCGAAAACCCAGTGGTCTGAGCCGTCCCTGCCCCATCAGGACATCTTGCTGGAAAGTGATTTGCTCACTTAAAGGGGCCCTTAATTGGGGACTTCTGCTTGAGAAGATAATCTTTTGTCGGTATTTTAAATAGGCAATTTGGCACATTATCTGTAGGACACAAAAGACAAGTCCGTTGCCATAGAGTCCAGCCAGCACAATGCATCAAGTACAACTGATACCGTTTAAAGGTTTCACATGCCCAGGTTTAGCAAAGCTCAGGGAAATGGTATCTTCTTGTTACTTCAGGGTTTTCTTTCTCAGGCATTTATTCTAGTCACAAAAAGCCTTTCTGTATCATCCTATTGTCTCTTCTTTTCTTTTATGCCTACAATTTTCTTTCTCAAAAAGGCCATGTGTGAAACAGGAAAATGTTCACACTGTAATGCAGCTATTGTAAGGCAGCCCCCATGGGGTCAGTGTGTAAACTGAAGATATTAAAGATCTTTGCTTAAAGGTGTATTCTGATACTTATCTGGGTGTGCATGATAATTTTCGAGCCTTTTAAAAAAGGGTGGGTACACACGGCACATTCCTGGAGCACCAAGCTCCAGTGATCAGGGACAGGAAGAACCAATATCACTGCCATGTCCATACCACCCAAAGCAATCTATAGATTCAATGCAATGCCTATCAAGATATCAATGGCATATTTCACAGAACTCAAATATTCCAAAAATTTATATGGAACCACAGACCCAGAATAGCCACAGCAGTCTTGAGGAAGAAGAACAAGCTGGAGGAGCTGTGATACCTGACAGCACACTATACCGCAAGGCCACAGTAATCAAAATGGCATGGTACCGGCATAACAACAGACACTCAGATCAACAGAACAGAGTAGACAGCCCAGAAATACACCCATGCCTTTGCAGTCGATTAATATTTGACAAAGGAGGCAAGAACATACAATGGGGTAAAGATGATCTATTTTATAATGGTGAAACAAACAAACAAACAAACAAACCCCAAACCCAGATCGCCTTCTTGCACCACACACAAAAAGAAACTCAAAATAAATTAAAGGCTTAAGCGTTAGCCTCAAAACCATAAAATTCCTAGAAGAAAACATAGGCAGTAAAATCTTGGACATTTCTTGTAGCAATGTTTTTCTGATACATTTTCTTGGGCAAGGGAAACAAAAGAAAACATAAACAAATGGGATCACATCAAACTAAAAAGTGTTTTCATAGCAAAGGAAACCACCAACAAAATGAAAATACAGCCCACTGTATGGGAGAACATAATTACCAATATACATTTGATAAGGGGCTAATATCCAAAATTTATAAAGAAGTTACACAACTCAACACCAACCACACAAACAGTCCAATTAAAAATGGACAAAGAACCTGAATAGAACCTGAAAGAACCTGAATGTCTTCAAAGAGGACAAACAATTGACTGATAAACGTATGAAACGATGCTCAATGTCACTAATTGTCAGAAAAATGCAAATTAAAACTGCAATGAGACATCACCTCACACTTGTCAGAATGGCCATCATCAATAAATCAACAAACAAGTGCTGATGAGGATGTGGAAAAAAGGGAACCCTCGTGTGCTGTTGGTGGGAATGCAGACTGGTGCAGCCACTGTGGAAAACAGTATGGAGGTTCCTCAAAAAATTAAAAATGGAACTGCCTTATGACCCAGAGATTCTACTTCTGGGAATATATCCAAAGAGACCCCAAACACTAATTTTAAAGAATATATGAACCTCTATGTTGAATGCAGTGTTATTTACAACAGCCAAGATTTGGAAGCAGCCCAAGTGCCTATTGACAGATAAGTGGGTAAATAAGCTGTGGTACGTTTACACATGGAATACTACTCAGGCGTTAAAAAGAAGGAAATCTTCCTTTTTGTGACAGCATGGATGGACTTGGAGAGTATTATGAAGTAAAATAGACCAGTCAGAGAAAGACAAATACCATATGATCTCACTTATATGTAGAATCTACTGAACAAAATAAACTAACAAACAAAATAGAAACAGACTTATAAAAACAGCTGTCAGAGGAAAGGGACCTGAGGGTCCTGGGGAAGCGGGGTAAAAAAGGTAAAGGGATTAAGCAAACAAAAAACAAGCACACACAGACATGGACAACAGGAGGGTGTTTCCCCGAGGGACAGGGTGTGGGGGAGGTAGAGGAGCAGAAAGAGGGGTAAATGGTGATGGAAGGAGACTTTACTTGGGGCAGTGAGCACACAATACGACATACAGATGATGTGTTATACACTGGTACACCTGAAACAAACATCATTTTATTTAACCAATGTCACCCCAATACATTAATACGATTTTGAAAAAAAGAAACAAAGGGTGGGAAACATTTTGTCTGCATACAGCATGTTTTTGTCTTTGCCTTCTTGTGACCACTGCCTCTGACAAAGCTGCCCTTGATCCCTGTTGATCAAGCTCCCAGCCAGGCCTCGGTGTCAGAAGTGCACTGCTGCCTAATCTCCTTCACCATCAGAGGACTCCTGCGTGGCCCTTTCTACCCCACCCAGCTGCACTCACACTGTCCCCTGCGTCACCCCGGACTCGGGCATTGTTTGTCCCACACTCCCGCAGGCCTAGAGGCAGCACATTCTGCCAGGGGAGAAAGGCCAGACTCAGCCTGCTTGAGGGCTCTGTGCTGCTTTTCTTTCTCACAGCACCCACTCAAAACAAGCCATCTTCCCAGCTCTAGAGCCAGGAGGTGTGTGGCATTGCAGGCTCAGCTCCAACGTCTTCGCAGCAGGGGGTGAGGAGGATGGCTTATTTTGGGCAGGACCGTCTGTCACAGACTGAGGGGCGGGGGAGGGGGCTGGAGAGTGTCAACAACACCCAGTCCCAAGACTGGGATGAATAAAGAGGATGGTGTTTATTTCTGTTTTTATGAGGACTTGATTTTTAGAGAAGACACTGCAGCATTTGCTGCTAAGTGAGAAGGTGAGACAGATGGAGAGAAGGAAAATGTTTGGTTTTGTGGCAACAGAATGTCAAACTTCATAGAAGATGCTTGTTGCAAAATGACAACATTTAAGTCTCTTTTAGGTTCAGTTCTTCTCTCCAAATCTAAGTTGGTGTTTTCAAAGAAATATAGGGATTTCCACTTAGATTTCCTTTTGGTCTGAAACCAAGTTCCTCCTTGCCCACTTTTGGAAACAATAGCTGACACTGATATAGTACTTTGTGTCCAGCTCCACTCCAGGTACTATATATGTATTATATGTAACATATATGAGTTTACACACACACACACACACACACACACACACACACACTCATTCAATCTTCCTAACAACACTATGAGGTTGACACTATTATTGTCCCTATTATATAGATGAGGAAACCGTGGCACAGAGTGATTCAGTAACGTGCCCCAGGGTGCACATGGCTAGTAAGTGGAAGAGCCAGAACTCAAACCGAGGCATCAGGCTCTGACCCCATGCTAGTCCTCCACCAAGCTTAGCACGACTAACGTGACACACTGGGGGATAACTTTGGTGCTTCCATCTCCTGGAAACAACTCTTAGGCTATAGCTCTGAAACCCTGATTTCATCATGCTAGTGTATCTCAATAACACGTTGTTCTTTCCTTCAAACATGCATCTCATGTTGTGAGTACAGATGTACTTTTAGATTTTTGACTTTAACAATTAGATGGAAAGTTCTAGAACAGGAGCTACGTGTGTTTTGTTTCCTCAGCAGTATTTTGAACCTGTCCAGCAAATATCCGCTGACAAACATGTCCACCCTCTTCTGCTCAGTACTGTCCTTGGCTCACCCAGAGGCTCACTTCTACTGGGTCACTAGATGCTGCTGCTCCTCAGTGCTCTGCCCAGGCCCTCCCTGCACCCCTGCCTGCAGGCCAGTGGTCTCTGATACTCCCTGACGTAGACTCTAGCCCCGTGGTCTCCTCTGACTGCAGATCTATCTGCATCTCCAAGGGCCCTGACATCTCCTGCCCTGATATCTCAATCTCAGCGCATCTGCCCCCAAGGTCCCTATGGTGTCCCTGAACCTCAGTCGGTGCAGGGCACCCACCTCAGGTCAGGCAGGGCAGAGACCCCACCCAGTCCGTAGGGGTGCCTCCCTCCCCCTTCCTCTGCATATCCACCTGCCACCTCGGAGAGCTGATTTTATCTGCAAATATCACTCCACTGCATTTGCTCTGCATACCCCCACTCACCATCCCTTCAGATAGCCTTTGTCTTTATACTTCTAGAAGGGTGGTTAGCATCCACTTCCCCTGCCTAGGGCAAGGACTCCCTGCTGGGCCCTCAGGGACTCAAGATCTAACCTCAGCCTTAGAGGAAACTTCTTGTTCTAAGTGCTGACCTTGCTGACCCCAAGAGGCCTCCTCACTGGGAAGGTCTGTGTCTTAGCAGCCATTTCTATGGGATTTCTAGGAAAGGAGGGTTTGGCCAATCTCAAAAGATAAACAGAACCCAGCACCTTCTCACCCATCCTCGGCGCCCACTCCAAGCCTCCTCTGCCCCGCTGCCTCCTTCAGCAGGGCGATCAGTTCACCAACGAGACCGGGCAGGACCCTGCTCTGCTGCAAATCCTCCCCATCACACTCTGAGTACAAACTACGGTCCTTCAAATGCCCGGGGCTAACCTGATTTAGCCTCTTACTGCTTATCCTCTCTGTCCGGCCACCCTGGCTTCCTTGCAGCTTCTCAGACTCCAAGGGTGAGCTGGACTTCCGTGGTCGGCTGAAACCACCTCCCCAGGGCCCCGGGACTTCTGCTCTCACCTCCTCTAGGTGTTCCCCCAAGGCTCCCTTTTCAGGGGGTCTTTCGTGGCTCCCCACTCTATAGTCCCTGTTCACTTCCTACCCCCTCTCCTGGCTCTATTTTTTCTCTTAGCACCAGCTAACAGACAATATATTCTACTTATTCATCTTGTTTATTGTTCATCTGTCCAGATTAGAATGACAGCTTTAAGAAGGCAGGGATTTTGTCAGCTTTTTTATTTCTGGATCTCCATCTAGAACAGTACCTGCCACATAAATATGCAACACCTAAATGAGTGACCTTCTTCTTTCCTGCCCTCCCTGGGTGGTGGGCTACAGGCCAAGCACACCTCTACAGAGCCAGAGATCTATCTCTAACCCTTCTGGAAAACCACACTTTCCCTACCTGTCCCACTCCTGGTAATAGCACCGTGGCCCCACCCCTCCTAGCTGCCCCTCATAATACTCAATGCTGAATCCTTAGGACTGGGTCACATTTCTGGGGGCTGCCCAGGATAAGCCAATGTCTGCACACAGACGGTCATTATTATTCAATGCTGATATTCATTTATAATTATAATTACTATCTGACATGTAACAATCCAGAACTGCTCTGTAATTCCGGCTGTAATTGCTGGCCTTCGGGGGACCAAGCTAACTCGGGCCAGGTTGCCCATCTTCACAGCAGCTGGCCCCCGGGACCATGAGCATGTAGGTTTTGCTAAGTGGCAGAGCCCCTCAATGACTTTCTCCCTCTCCACTGGCTCTCACTAAAATTGGCATGGGAATATGAGCAAGGGTGTGAGGAGGGGTTACTATGCTGTCTGGAAGAATTTCCTAGCAGCTCTTCCAGCCCAGGGCCTGTGCAAGTGAGTTGGAGCAGCAGAGCCAAGAGTTTGAAAATAAACAAGAGGGTGTGGTGGAGCCTCCACCCCACACAGTGGCTGAGTGGCAGGCCTTCCTAGAAGCTTCCTGAGCATTCTCTATACCCTGCACACAAGCATCCACCATGCATGTGTCAGCTTTCTTCAGTGACTCTGCCCAGGCCTTCTCCATGACTCCCCAGCATGGAAGCTCAGAGCCCTGTAGAACCTGCTGCAGCACATGCCCCAGCCCCCTGCCAGGCCCTGCGTGGGCCCCTGCTTCTCTGGTCCCTGGGCACATCTGACACCTCGGTGCTTCTGGGTCTTTGCTCTGGTGATGGCAATGCTGCTGCTCACAGCAGGGCAGAGGGAGTCTCTCAGAGATGCCAGCCACACCTTTGTAACCATCCTGCGACTCATGGACAGGGGACCCTGACAGCTGAGACCCTGTAACCCAAGTGCCGGCCTCAGGGAGGCCTGGGTGCTGCCATTTTATTCAAGCCATTCCAGCTGTTCCTTTAGCCAGGAAACCCAGGAGTTGCCATCACTCAGTTGATTTCCTATGAAACACAGACAGTTTCTGGACAGGAGAAGGGGGTAGCAGGGCAAGGCAGGAGCTGACCCTTGGAGGGACTCGGGCGTGGCATAGCCAGGCATCCCACAGCACATGGAGAGCCCGTCCTAGGGCTCCGGCTCCTCCCCCTTCTGTCTGCCAGTCTGTGTCAGAGCGATCAGTCCCCAGGGAGGCTGCTTGTTGAGTTGGAGCTAAACCATTGTCAGTTCCAGCAAGAATGCCCTGGGCCCCTGAAACATAGCAGCTTGCAGGCAAGAGTTGAACCTGCCTTGCATGCAAAGAGGCAACATGTTTTAGCCACTGGACACACTTCAGCCCATTCAAAATGCAGTAACAGAGACAAACAACGAGGAAAACAATAAAAGTGTTGCCAAAATACCCATTTTTCCTCTTTTTCCATTTGCTCCTTTTTCGCCTTTTGGGCCCTGGGAACCAGGCTGTCCATCCGATCCGTTATGTCCTGGTAAGCCACCAGCGCCCGGAGGTCCTGAGTTGGAACATGGGAAACAGGAACATTTAAAAAATCTCCTCACTGAAGCTAAGGGGGTTTCCTTTGGCCAGTGAGAGTGGGCAGGCATAACCTGTTCCTCCTCCCTTTCCTTCTCTGCCTTTGCGGCCCTCGCTGAGGCAGTGACAGGTGGGCAAAGGTGATGGCAGGTTCTCAAGTGGGAGGGGCAGGAGAGCTCGTGATTGGGGGAGGGAAGGGCGGGGACTCAGTGATGGCCGGGCTGCCTCTAGACTCCTCCGCCTTCCTTGCCCCAGTCCCTTCTGAGTGGTCCTGGGGAGTTAGCCACCCATATCCACCCCCCCCCACCCCCCGCCAAGAACCAGGAAAACCATGGGCTCTTACCTGGTGGGCCAGGTGGTCCTACAATAGAAAGAGAAATGTAAATGATAAACTATAGGTGGAAGAAAGCGAAGCCAGCTCCACACCCCAGAAACACCTCCCCCCTCTTAAAATGTACTAGCATGTAGCCACCCCATGCCTTTCATTCAGAACTGAGCACATCTGCCGGAAAGATTCTTCACATTAGTTCAACACAGACCCGTTTGCCAATCAAAATGACTTCTGTTTAAGTTTCGATAGACCAAGAATAAGTTAATTGATTCAGAAATTAGCCATCTCTCAAGCAATTAACCTAATTAAATGAGGTTGGGCGACAATACAGGTAGGCACTTGTGCAGCCCCCAGCACAGGTAAGCGTCAGCAAATGGTGGGCTGCCGTGGTGGGGCCAAGGTCTGGCCGTCAGGAGAACGGTCCCAAGTGCTCCCCACAGCCAGTTTGTCTCCTCCACGCCGTTGCCACTGCCGCTGCCGCGCCACCGCCGCCGAGGGGAGCTGACAGCAGAGGCCCACCTGCCCGGCCTCTGTTTTGTGGCATGAAAGAGCCTGAGAAAAACCGAGGGTCCGGATCAGGTAACGAGTACTTTCCTTGGTGTGCAGTCACCCAGAAAATCTAAGGGGGTTTGGATGAATCACTTACACATAATCTAACAAAAAAGATCTTGCTTCCACAAATAGCAGAGTCTTATCAATTACTCTTTTGGAGCATTCAGACAAGCTAATGAGGTGGTAGGAGGAGCACAGAAGGTCCTTCGGTTTCTCCGGAGTACGTGGAATGACTACCAGCACTGCAGTGGAAAGGTCTTTACATAAATCCAAGCTCGGGGCCTTTCAGAAAAATCACCATTTACTAAGCACTTACTACGTGCACCAAAATTTGCTAAGAAGCAGAAATCTTGGTCCCTGTGTCTGTTATATTTACAACCTACCTGGGGAAGGTAGACCCTTGGAAATCAGAATGAAATATGGACAAGCTACAGAGAAGCAAACCCCAGATAGGGCACTGGGGCAGTTGGGGCCCACGGCTGCCCCGGAAGGCGTGCAGAGAGGGTGAGACATGAGCTGGGCTGCTGAGGAAGCAGTGGGCCTGAGGAGTCTGCAGGGGTGAGGGCTGCACGTCCCATGACAGGGATAAGCAGGAGCAGAAGTACAGCCGTGGAACGTGCATGGTTTAGGGTGGGCCAGGAAGAACATTGGTCAAGTTGGTGTGTGGAGGGGCAGATGCAGGGCAGCAGTGCTTGAACGCCAAGTGGAGAGGTGTGGACGGCATCTGTGAGGCACTGGGGAGCTACAGTAGATTCTAAAGGAGGCGGGGAGCAGGGGCAACCCTGTGAAGTCTGTGTTTGAGATCTTCTGGGTGGATGGAAGTTGAAGAGAACTTGGCAATAAGATGAGAGAGAGAAAGAGGGAAGAGAGGGTGGGGAGAAAATAGCCAAAAGGTCTTTGTAGTTAAAATTAGCAGCAAGGTTATGGATAAATGTGGTTGGTGACTGTAGAGCTGTAGAGAAAGCTAGAAACTCCAAAGGTATTTCAGCAGATGAGCAGGGTCGCATGTCCGATTGGGTAGGAGGCAAAGAAGGCCTAGGGTGCTAAAGGAGAGTGTCTATTTCACACACACAGGGACTCGTGGAAGAATACGTGTTTGAAGGTATGCTTTCAGTATACATAGTCCTACTTTGGACAAACGTGATTTGTTGAAAATGGCACCAGATTTTGTAGGGTAGTATAGCCTGTGTCCACAGGACTTTCCCACTAGGCGGTGCGCACATCCACTGGCTGGGAACGGGTAACGTGGGCAGCTGACAGAGGTCCACGGAAATCAGTCCGCCATCACTCCCAGCTGTGGATGGAGCCAAATTCAGATGTGCAGATTGGTAAGAGAGAAAAGGTAAACAAGAAAGAATGGGCTGTATGTAACAGGCTTCAGAGTGCCCAGGACAGCCTCGTAACTACTGCCCCGCAGCAGATCTGCTGGGTAGAGGTCGTGGCCAGAGCTGCGTACCAGGACACGTCAGCTGTGGCCAGGGCTGCCACCAGAGGGAAGTGCTTAGATTTGGATTTCCTGCCAACGATCCCTGGACACCCTGTGACTGCAGTTCTTACTCACTGAGCCCACAGAATCCCCTGGGATGCTTGCTGCAATGCAGCTACCTGGGTCCCATCTGGAGATTCTAATTCGATTTGGATACAGAGGCCCAGGAACCTGCATTTTTACCAAACATGACCGGAGATTGGGATGCAGATGGTCCTGGGTGCCTTCTTGCCTCCCACCTGGTGTGAACATTTTCTGGGAAAAGAATCAGTCACTAACAGTAGACCCTTGAAGGGGTCCCTGACCCTGGAAAGGTTGAGAGCTATTAGTTTTGAGGAAAAAGTAAAATGCCTGGTCCAACCAAATTTTGGGGTTCAGAGGGGTGGGGGGAGGCAGGTGATAGAAGAGGTACCAGGAAAGAGAGGGAAAGATCCGAAGGTGTGTGTGTGTGTGTGTGTGTGTGTGTGTGTGTGGAGGGAGTGGAGGGGTGGCATCCAGCAGGTTCCATGCCCTGAAGCCATTGGAGAAGAGAATCTCCGAAGGGAGAGGATGACAGAAAGTCCCAGAGAGCTCAGAGGAGGGTGCTACAGCGACAGCAAGCCTCTGTCCCACTGTCTTCTCAGGGTGCCAACCTAGCGGCCCACGGGCTCCCTATAGCTGGAAGACACCCCACATGTGCAGCACCACAACAATGTCAATGTCACATTATAGACGTGCCGACTGGGCATTCAGAAGCCGTTTCTCAGCTCCTGACCCTCCTCCTTTTCTGAATTACAGACCCCTGAGGAGTGCCTGTGGACAGCGTATGCTGTTGATACTGTACCAGGCCTGGTTTCCTGGGCCTGCCACCAGGGCAGTTGACAAAGCCCCACACTCAGAAGGGGCCCTGTGCTTGCATGTAATGCTCGGTGGTTGCCATCTAGAAATTCTTAATCATTTTATCTTAGAATTTATGTTTTGTAAATGAAGTTTGATGGGATGATGAAGCTCGTTCTGGGGACTTGGAGCCTCCGTGTGTATGTGGGGCTCCCCCACCTCCCTGCTGCCCCAGGACGGGCTTGCTCCCAGCTCCCCAGCCCGTCAGTGATGGCTGCGCCTCCCATCCCAGTGGGGACACAGCAGGAGTGCAGGCAAGGCTGGACCTGGGGGTGTACCCTGCATGCCTGAGTCTGGGGCGGGGCCCCTGTGCCCGTGAGGGTCTATACTTACTAGGGTAGTAACCTGTGCCTCGGAGAGTCCATATATTAAATAGCAAACAAAAAGGCCCCACCATAGCAGGTTGCAAGGGAGACCGTGGAAGAAAGGAGGAAAGCCTTTTTCTTGCTTTTGGAACAAGGGCCCCTGCATTTTTGCCGTGCGCTGGGCCCTGCGAGTGACACAGCTGCTCTGACCACCTGGCCCCACTCTCCTGGGCAGAGTCCACCAGAATTGGCTGGATGCTCGATAGGAGCTGAGCCCCTTAGATTTTTTCCTTCTTAAAATGTAAAATTGACCCATCATGTACCTAGCTCATAAACTACAGGTCTGGGAATGGCCTTGCACAGGAAAAAAAGAAAAGGCCAGTCTTCAGGGAGAAGAGAGTGAAGCAAGGAGAAGAGAGTCAGACAGACCGAGAGAGGCGCCACGTGGGCCCCTGGGGGGCGTCCCACCCTCCTGGGGCCCGGCTGCCGTCCCCTCCTCCCAAATCTCTCTGCAGGTCACCCTTGCCGAGAAGCAAGCTCTGTGTCACCAGACTCAGTTTCACTGTCCTCTTCCTGGGCCCACAGAGACCGTATTTCCCGGACTTCCTTGAGGTGAGGTTGCAGCAGTGTGACTGCTGGGGCTTTGCCAGTGGGATCCTTGGGTGGGGGTGGGGAGATACTTCCAGGCCTGGCCTTTTAAGGCACCTTTGGTCCTCTCCTTCCGCTTTGGGAGAAGTCCTGGTGCCTGGTGTTGAAATGATGGAGCCACACAATGGCAGCACCTTGGATGCCCTTGAGTCAGCCAAACCCTGCAGGACTTTGTGGGGTGAGAAGTAAGCCTTCTCTGACTTGGGCCACTGAGAGTTTGTGGTTTAGCTGTTACCAGAACCTGGGCTAATCTACCCTGACAAATACACCCCTCTATCCTTATAATAATTTGTAACCCTGCTCCCATTTTTTTCCTTTCCTCAATAAAGTCTAGTGGGGTCCTTCTTCTATAAAAGGGAAGAATCATAATTGAAATAGGAAATACAGGCACCACAGTTATGGGGAGTAAAAGGTAAAGAAGTACAAGGCTCAATTCCTGTCTTCAAGGGCAGGCACTGGTCGTTGGCTAAAACTTTGGGCCCCTGGAAACCCCGCCCACTTGGCTCCTCCCACCACGGCCATTCCAAACCTCGTGATTATGATTTGGAGGTGCTTGTCTCCAATTGCCCTTTGTAGCCTCCCCTTTCACCTGGGACAGTGTTGGAGCAGGTGTTGCATGACCCAGGGCACCTTGCCAAGCATAGCGATGATCACAGAGGACACGGCAACATGTTTCCCAAAACCTTGCTGATAAAGGGGGAAAAGGAGCCAGAAATTTCTCCAATAGCAATATTTTAGAAAGTGAGATCTGGTTCTGCTCCTTCAGGAAGAGCTGGTGAAAGGTGCAACTTCACAAGCCTGATACTACCAGGCCCGGAGCATGCCCGAGAGCCGAAGTCTGTAGTCCCGATCTTCCCACGTCTCACTCCAGCGAGGGCTCCCGGGCTCAGGGTTCACGCCAGCCACACCTGCAGGGCCAGATGGGAGCCCTGGCCCAAGGAGGGATGGTCTCCCCTGCTCCCTGGAGGCCTTATGTGCGTGGCTCTCCTGCAGGGATGGCCTGAGAGGGCCCAAGCTCTCACACTTGGAGCTGAACCAAACAACCGGCTGGTTTGCTCAGGGTGGCCTGTAGAATGAAACATTATCACCAGCACTCGCTGAGAATGACCTGTCCATCTGTTTATGGAAAGTTGCATTGGCTACAGCTTTTAGGTCTCCGTCCCTACCCTCTGAGTGTTGGTATGCCCTCTGGAGCCATCCTGCCACCAGCCATTGGGCCAGCCCTAAGGCACCTGACTTGGAAAGGTATCTTTCCTCACATGCTCCCACTAAACAGCAGCTTTGTGTGACAGAGCTGTACACGTGAAACCTACATCATTTTCTTCGCTAATGTCACCCCAATAAATTCACTAAAAATTAAAAAAAATAAACCGCAGCTTTGATCCAATCCCATTTATTTGGTGCATTTCAATGTTGAGCTATGGGTACGGCAACCTTAAAAAATCAGAGTGAGGATGGCAAATAGGTTTTATTTCAAGTGCCAATTCTAGTCAATTAGTACAGCTCTCTGCAGAGCCAGAAAAGATGCCATGAGCCATGGTCAGCAGCGACTGTGCTCCATCATTGATGTCTGCCCAGACACATGATAAGGAGTGGTGACAAGTGTCGTGGCTGGGTTGGAGTCACTTGGCTCAACGAGAATGAGCAGTTCTGCACAAGCAGGTCAGCAAGGTGATGGCTTAGAGGTTTCCAGCAAGTCCACATGGGGAGGCCTCTGGAAGTGAAGGGCACCCCACAAACCTGCTGCTTCAAGACACCTGCTCTCAGGGGCTCTGAGGAAAACTGGGCTCGGGGGTCAGAAGCATCCAGAAAAGCCTATGTTGTTTGACACATTCCGCACTAGCAAACCCTGCTGAGTACTATAGCTAGTGAATTGCCCTCATCTTCACCTGAGATGTCACAGGCTGCGTAAAACTTCATGGTATCTGTCCTTGTCCCCGTAGCAACCACAGCTGAGTCCAGGAAAAAGGACAGGAATTCAGTCTCATGGTCACAGCCGGACTAGCCTCCCATCACAAGCGCCTGCTTTTTCAAAAGACGAACCCAGTGTAAAGCCAGATGTTGTTCTCAGGCCCCAGGCCGGGGTCTGCCCTGGAGACCCTTCCTGCCCGCACCTGGTCAGGGCCCTGGACTAAGGCTCTCTCTCACCACCCCCCAAGATGCCAGTTCAGTCCCGTCACCTTCCCACCCCCCACCCGGCAGCCTGGCACATCCCAAGGCACCATCTCACTTTGCAACTTGTACTTTTCACACTGAAGTTTTAATGGAAGAGCTTTCTGTGTAAAAGGAGGCCCAATTTCAAGCTGGTATGTAAGAAAGGAGAAGGTACTGGCTTTTGAAAAGCATTTTGAGGTGCCAAAGAATAACCTCCAGTACGGATGCGGTCCCCGCCCGCGATCAATCTCCCCTAAGTGGTCTCAATGGGTCCATCACGCATTCACTGCACGGTGTCCCTCTCCTTCTGTCACTGTAAAAATCAAAAAGGAACAGGCTTTTCCTGTGCCTCTCAATGGGCTTTTGTGTCTATAATTCCACCCATCTGAGCGTTTCTGTAGCACTCATTACCGTCACATGTGGGAACTCTAAAAAGGGACTTCAAGAGATGGAAGAAAAGTGCTTAAGCCACAAGAGTTTCAGAATAAAGGACCAACCTGTTCTGAAGATACTTCATTTTCTGTGAGGGCTAAAATGTGATGGAGTGATTCAATTAGCATTTATGAAGAAGCCCAGGATGACAGCTTTTCTCTCTGAGGCCAAACTAAGTGAATGAGAGTCAGACTTGGACTCAGAGTTCCTCGGGGACGTGCTTTCTCAGCAACCCACCACCCCCATTAAGCACGTACATAAACCCCAGATTTAATCACTCGGCAAACTCGCACTGAGCACCTACTGCACACTGGTAACGTGAGGCACTGGGGAGACCACTGCAGAAAGTGGGGGAGCCTCTGACTACTCAGCGGGCACGGGCAGGGTTTTTCAGCCTCCGGCAGTGCAGCCCTGGCTGGGAGTCTAGTGCGAATGGTGCCTCCCCAGAGCCTGGGGCCACAGGCTGATGTGGCCCAACAAAGCTTCGGAGGCCACATAGTCTTTGGTTACATTGTTAGGTCCGTGAGAATATGTATTCATTCCATAGTAGACTTTTCTTTAATCCTCACCTGGGGAGATTTCTACTGATTTTTTGGAGAGAGAGAAAAGGGGAGAGAGGAAGAAAGACAGAGAGAGAGAGAGCAAAAAGAAAGAAAGAAAGAGGGAGAAACATTAAGGTGAGAGAAAAACATCAGTCGGTCGCCTCCTGTGTGCACCCCAACTGGGGATCCAACCTGCAACACAGGTATGTGCCCTGGCCCGGACAGTGTTCCCTCTGACTGGGCCACTGGCCAGGGCTCTATCATAGACTTCTAAGGTAAAAACAGTTTTTTATTTTTCCTCAGAGTGCTATGCTCTCTTCAGAGAGGGAGTAAGTGCAATGCCTGGGATCAGCCTCTGCAGACCCACGGTGGGGTGGGGGATACACACGAATTCACTGGTCCCAGCTCCTGGAGACAGGAGGTAGGCTCCTCTCCCCTCAGGTGAGACGCAGGACTCTGTCAGAGTCAGGTGTAGACAAGCATATTAAAACCACTCCCCTCCTCCCTGCCCCAACCACCAGCCATTCCCCTGTGTGCCGAGGCTTGCTCTGCCTAGAGGCTGATTCTCTCCAGTCTGTTTGTCCTCTGATGACTGAGTGGAGGGGGTCAGTGAGTGACCAACGGCCAGTCTCCCCAGCACCCAGCAGGCCCCACACAGACCACTCTCCATAAACAGCGTTTTCCTCACTGATTAGCAATTTGCTCCTAGAGCTTCGCATTCATGATCTGCGGATTGCATATGTATGATGCAGGGAAATCGTTACTTCTGGTAAGAGAACGCTGCACTTAGCAAGGTCTTTTTCCTTTCTTTCTTTTCCACTTAAAACACTGGAACAGGGAAACATCTGTGGCACCAGTTCAAGGCACCACACATTTCTAATCACCCAAGACCTCATTATTTTCCATGGCTATATTTCTATGGTAATACCAAAAACAGTATTTTTCATAATTATGTTACAATTGATTTTCATCCCATTAAAAACATCTGCTAAAAGTAAACCAACACATATTTTTATCATCTACAGTGTTAGTAGGTGTTGTTCGGCCCTGGCCGTTTGGCGAGAACACCTCTGCGCCCTGCGGGCAGAGCGGTCAGCAGCCTGGCCAGCCTACCTGTGAGGCAGATCCCCTTGGTGCTGTTGCACAGGTCCACCATCACTCGGATCTGCAGGGAGAGAGGCGGGGTCAGTGGCAGCACTGTGGGTGAGGGCCCTGCACTTGCCCTTTGTTCAGACAAGAAGAAAGCCATTATAGAAATTCACAAAGTAACTTCGGGAGACTATGCAGAAGTCTAAGGAAAAGTTAACCAAACACAGAAAAGAAACCTTTAACAGATCTGAAGATACATGATATCAGAAGCTCATCTATCAACCACGTCAGCAGGATCTCCTTGATTTCTATCACATTCTGAGAAGACAGAGGATGGTGAAGGAATGGCCACATTCAATTTTCAAGGAGGTACTGAGCCGGCTCCCCTGAGTCCAAAGGTCTCAACCTATGAGCCTAACTAAAAAGGGTCGATAAGTTTGGTGGTTAGGAGCAAGGTGCAAGGTACTTAACCTCTTGACACTTTGGTTTTCTCTGAAAATTCGAATAATATGAGCACGTGTCCTGAGCTCTGTCCCTGGCCCCCCAGGAGAGTCATCCTCATGCCACGGGGATGCTGCCTACGCACTGCCAATGGCCACCTGTGGTGGGGGCTCGCTGCAGCCTGGTATTAGCCTGATATCTGGTTCCTCCCACGCACTGTGCAGCCCCTGCCCCCCCACACACCCATCCTCCACACTGCTCCCAGTGAGCTTCACGAAAACCAAATCTGAGGGGCCAGTCCTGATTCAAACGTGTCTGTGACTCCTCGCTGCTCTAAAGACAGAGCAAAAGTCTTCTTCTCTGGACTCGCCTCACACTGCTTCCCCCTCCCTTTTTGTCTGTCCTCTAGTTCCACCCTGCTGCAGTTTGCTCATCTGTAAAATGGAGAGTGCAGTTGTGCTTACTTCTGAGGATTGTTGCGAAGCATAAATAAGACTGTTAGAAGTGAAGGTCCGAGAGCAGTGCCTAGCACGCAGGAAGCTCACACAAAGTGTTTTCCCTGTTGTGGAGGCAGCAGAGGCTTCTGCACAGAAGCATGGATGCTGAAGCCAAACTGCCTGTGTTCAAATCACCACTGCCATTCAGAGCAGTGTGACCTTGGACAATGTACTGAACCTCTCTGTGCCTCAGTGCCCTGGCTGAAGGTCAACCTCATAGCACCTTCCTCGTAGCATGGGTGTGTGCACTGAATTAGCAAATACACGCAACAAGCTCAGAACAGGGCCCAGCACCTGATTTGCCCACTCTATCTATGCTGCTGTTTTGATCGTTCCTAGAATGTACTAAGAAGGACTTAGTTAATTTATCAATTTACCATCCATTACTTTTAAATTTCTAGATACAGCAATTTTTAGACCCCCAAAATGTGGCATTTCAAAATTGTGGGGAAAAAATATATTAGTTAAGAAATAGAGTAGACATCCTGGGAGAAAATAAAAAGCTGAATCCCTACTTCCCTCCTTATACTAAATAAGTTAATTAAATGATATTGATCAAAAACTTGAAACTAAAAAAGAAACTAGTAAAAGTACCAGAGGAAAATTTGGGGAAAATATTTATAATGGCATTAGACTAGGAAAGACTTTTCTGGGAACGAAACAACCCCCATACTATATATAGAGAGAGGTAGAAGTGATACATTTGACCATCTAATAATTAAAAATTTCTGCAAGAGGAAAATTCTACTAGCAATAACAAAGAAGAAACACACACCTAGAAAAATAATTGCAAAGGGTTTGTATATAAAGAGAGGTTAAAAAGCAATATGTAAAGGAATAAGAAACAAAAAGGAAATGGGCAATGGACCCAAATGGGAAGCTCAAAGAAAGAAGACTGCCCGTCTTCACTTAGAGTTAGAGAAATCAGTCCAAATGATGAAAGACTATTCTCACCTCTTAGGTTCTAAGTGCAAAGACTAACCGAGCACCTGTCCCAGGCGTGTCAGGAAAGCAGCACTCCTGTGTCCTACTGAAGGGAGTGTAAAGGGATACTCTCTTTGGAGGGATTTAGGCAACAGCTACTGAAATTTAAATGGATCTGCCTTTCGATCCACCCATTGCGCCCTGGGATTTACTCCACAAGTACACTCACGTATGTGTGAGAAGGTGCAAGCACAAAGATGGTTGCTGCAGGAATGTGGGCGACAGAAGACAGTGAAAAACCCTAAATATTAATCAGGGAGGACTGATTAAACAAAGTGTAGCACAGCCCCACACACAAAAAAATGCCGTGAAGAGAAACAGAACTTAAATCCACAAGGCTGACAATGAGAGCTCTCCGAGATAAATGGAAAAATGCAAAGTGTGGAGAAGCATATATAACATGCTTCCATTTACAAAAAAAGTGGTGTACATACACAGGCTTCCATGTGCTTCTTTCTTGCTGCTTTCAAGAGTCTGTCCTCTTGGGCTGTCCAGACTATTTCGGAGAGAAAGCTAAAAAGCCTCAAGTGAGGAGGAATGGAGGGCCAAGTGGGAGGGAGCTGTACCGAGAATGACATGCCCTTTTGTTTTACTCAAAATTTTCACTCTTTCAATCACACTCTTTTTTAAAAGAACATGCTTTGATTTGATGGGAAACATTGTTTTGTCTCCCGCCTAGGTTTATTCTGTCTGCTAGGGGCCCCAGAGCAGAACTCCGACTGCATTTACTTTTTGTCAAGTCTGTCAGGTGTTTACTGCTGGTGTTAGAACTTTATTGTGAAATATATCATACACATCACAGATATATAAAATGTGGATGAACAGTTTAAAGACGAATAAGAAAAACAAACACGTATATGCCACCCCCACCTTAAGGATGGGAAACAGGCCTGGGAACACTTAGGTGCCCCTCCCCCAAACACACCCCTCCCTCCTGATCCCAACAACTCTGAGCTGAAGGACGTTGGGCCCCATTTCTTTCTGTTTTATATAGACAAGAACATAAGAGGCTTAGAGAGGTGGCGTCACTTATACAGGTTCTCACCGCCCGGCGCATCAAGGAGCTGGGCTCCGGTCCAGGTTTCCTGGTTCCAGGCCTGCTACCCTATTTACTACGGCTCCGATGACTGTCTGAATGGAATCAGACAGAACAGATTTCGAGTCATTGTTTTTAGTCATTTTCATAAATGAATGTAATCAGCTGTACCATGGACAAAATTTATTGTCTAAAGATGTATAATTGCCCATTGAAAGGCCCATTAAAGACTTTACAATGCTTCATTTGCTGCCTTGGGGAATTGCAGCAGGAGGAGGAGCTTGAAACAACAGAAACATCAATAGGAAAAATTAGTCTTTCTCTTTTATACTCATAGTGGTCTGAGGTAGGTCCAGGTTCTGTTAAAGAAAAAAAAGATGAAGATTTCATTTCCTGACCTTTGGCTTCATTTCTATACTAAATGTCAATTAGATATTTACCAAGAAATTGTGTTATTCTTCACTTGGGAATATCACTTGGGACTATTCTTTTAACAAGTGTGGGCTAAGTAAGATTGTATCATGGTGAAACATAGGGTATGAAGAGGTGTGGCCACAAGATGTCAGAAACATTTGCTTCCCTGATAATAATGATCAAGAATTTGGTTGAAAATAATAAAATCCAAAATTGAAAGTCACAAAATCTAGTTGTCAAATTAAGATGTCACATTTGGTTCAAAGGACTTTCTAAATCTTTTTTTTTTTAATTTTTATTGTTGTTCAAATACAGTTGTCTTCATTTCCTCCCCTAACCACTACCCTCCCCCACCCATTCCCACCTTCCACTCTCAATCCCGCCCCCCCCCCCCTTTGGCTTTGTCCATATATCCTTTAAACATGTTCCTGATGACCTTTCCCCTTTATCCCCTGTTATCTCCTCCCTCTTCCCCTATGGTTAATGTCACTTTGTTCTTTATTTTTCAAGGTTTTTTTGTTTTTCTTTTTTAAATTTTATTTATTTATTTTTAGACAGAGGGGAACAGAGAGAGAAAGAGAGGGAGAGAAACATTAATGTGTGGTTGCCTCTCACATGGCTCCCACTGGGGACCTGGCCCACAACTCAGGCATGTGCCCTGACTAGGATTTGAACTAGCGACCCTTTGGTTCACAGACTGGTGCTCAATCCACTGAGTCATATCAGCCAGAGCTGTCAGTTTGTTCTTTATTTCAATGTCTTCTGCTTATATTTTGCTTGCTTGTTTGTTTTGTTGATTAGCTTCCACTTATAGGTGAGATCATATGGTATTTGTCTTTCAGCGCCTGACTTATTTCACTTAGCATAATGCTCTCCAGTTCCATTCATGCTGTTGCAAAGGGTAAAGCTCCTTTTTTCTTTCTATTGTGTAGTATTCCATTATGTAAATGTACAATAGTTTTTTGATCCATTCATTTCACTGATGGCACTCAGTTTGTTTCCAACACTTGGCTATTGTAAATTGTGCTGCTATGAACATTGGGGTGCACAGGTTCTTTTAAATTGCTGTATCAGGATTCTTAAGGTATAATTCCAGCAGTGGAATTGCCAGGTCAAAAGGCAGTTCCATTTTTACTCTTCTGAGGAAATTCCATACTGTTTTCCACCGTGGTTGCACCAGTCTGCTTTCCCACCAACAGTGTACTAGGTTCCCTTTTCTCCACAACCCCACCAACACTTCTTGTTTGTTGATTTGGTTATGATGGCCATTCTGACACATGTGAGGTGGTATCTTATTGTGGTTTTAATTTGCATTTCTCTGATGGCTACTGATGCTGAGCATCCTTTCATATGTCTCTGGGCCCTTTGTATGTCCTCCTTGGAGAAGTGTCTGTTCAGGTCCTTTGCCCATTTTTAAATTGGATTGTGTGTACTCTTGGAGTGGAGTTGTGTGAGTTCTTTATATATTTTGAAGATCAGACCCCTGTCCAAGGTATCATTGGCAGATACATTTTCTCATACAGTTAGCTCCCTTTTCATTTTGTTGATGTTTTCTTTATCCATGCAGAAGCTTTTAAATTTGATGAGGTCCCATTTTTATCTTTCCTTTATGTCCCTTGCTCTAGGGGACATATTGGTGAAAATATTGCTGTGTGGAATATCTGAGATTTTCATGCCTATGTTTTCCTCTAGGATTTTTATGGT